AATGTCAACACATTGCGACTTGTAAGTGAAGTGATATAGCTATATGTAAAGTATTTATCAATTTGAGTAGCTTATTATTTTGTTGTTTGTGCAGTGAAAACGAGCAACTTGATGGTCCTGTCCTCACTCAGTTGCCCATAGATGACATATTTACTCGGGATTTGGCAGATGCGCAGAGTCAGGAAGATATAGTGATTATGACAACAATGCCGATGAGTCTGGAGATGACTCACCCTTCCCCAACGAGGGTGATGATGAGGTGGAAGAGAATACCGAACGTGATTTGACGAGGGAGCATGCTCCACCTCCCGTTAGACCAAAAGTGTACGAGTCCCATGTGCTGTTTCATTCAAGGCATATTCCTTACCTTGATCATTTGACAAGTATGCCGGATGTTGATGCCCTCACAAGGGATTTTGACAAAATTTGGACAGCAATATGGGATGAGTCTAGACTGGGGTAAATCATCTAGCCGCTCAAGATGATGAAGAAATCTCAAGCAAACTAGGTTCCCCGAAGTGTTCGGGAACAAGATCCCTCCAAACATAAGGAGTAACAGCAACCTCGTATACCGGTGAATATGCAAATCATCTGTCTCGACAGTGATGTCGGGGTTCAATAACTCCAAATGCTGTCGAATAGCCGTCAAACTCTGGCGACTGGACCCTGCCTGTGCTGTCTCATCCTGTGGCCGAAAACCAGTGAGCTGCTGCAGCATGTCCAGGTACTGCCCACGTGTTATCTCTCTCATGCCCTGAGGCAGAGCGATGGGGTGCCCATCAACGGGCAGCCCATATAAAACCTCCACGTCCTGCAATCTGATGGTGGCCTCGCCAATGGGCAGGTGGAATGTGTGCATCTCCGGTCGCCATCGCTCAATCAGGGTCGTGACCAAAGACCAATCGAGCTGCAGCCGCCCGATCTCCAAAATTCTTTAGAAGCCCGTCTCTCGTAGGCATCTGACTACACGGGGATGGAGAACTTTGCCCTTCAGAAAATCCCACATGTCGTCCACTCTCCTGGCGCGGAGAGTCTGGGGAAGTAACTCTCCCTCCCAAATGTGGGTGGACCTATGATCGCCCTGTAATGACAGTAGCTCATCGCGAAAAGGTCCGGGATGCATAGGCGGCACGTCCATGTCGTCTACAATAAATTAAACAACATTAGTTACATGTTTGTTTGAAAATTAAATAATTAATTTTAATAATTATACCATATTTATTCACATATTGGTTCCAGGCTCGATATTTGAAGCTCAGTAGCATCAAACTATCTTGAATTATTGTATGGGTTAGTTTTATTGTTTTTCATGTTAGTTTCATAATTTTATATGTTTTTTTGTAAATTAAATAATTAATTTTTATAATTATACAATATTTAATTTGACAAAGTATTCACATATGGGTTCCAGGCTCAATATTTGAGGCCTAGTAGCCCCAAGCTATCTTTAATTCTTGCATGTGTTTCTTTTATTTTTTTACATGTTAGTTTTATAATTTTATATGTTTGTTTGTAAATTAAAAAATTAAGTTTTGTAAATTGGACAGAGTTTGTGTTTCATCTATCAGTGTAAGAGATACTTACACTACAGGGATACTACGCTAAAAGGATCTACATTTTACTACGCTAAAAGTGCACTATATTACTAGTCTTTAAGTAAATAAATAATCTAAACTAGATAAAAATAACAAATACATTTTAATCACAAAACATTCACGAAAATACATATAAAATAGTAAAAGAAATTTATTAACATTTTTATTAACAAATAATAATGATTTCTCAACTTTTACATATTTTTTTAGAACACTGATATCTTAGTCCGGATAAAAATAAAATACCAGTTTAGTCGCAACAAAAAAAACAAAAAACAACATGGAACACATTCAAAGCAACTAATATGCATTATTTATACGAGTTTCGACATAAACTAAATCAGAATACCTCGACTTATGTTTTTCGGAAAGATGGAGATTTAAAAATTTGACTCCGAAACAAGCAACCCACAACAATAGAAGGCTTGGCTAGGATGTAGGACCAACAATATCTACTTTTTACGGGATGGGTGGGGTCCACACGAGCTTTTTGGGACGTTAATGGAGGGGGGTCCGTTGTATTTTTTTAAAGGGGAAGGGGGAAGGTGCTGGGCAGAAACGTGGGGGAAAGGGAAGGGGATATATTATTTATGTATATAAAATGCGATTTCTAACTGCGTTTATATAAAACGCAGTAATGAACCGCGCTTTATATAGTTATCTTATCAGCTTCCAGTAAAGTGCGGTATTCAACTGCGTTTTATATAAAACGCAGTAATGAACCATGCTTTACCTTAACGTCCCAAACAGCCGTTAAGATAAAACGCGATTCATAACCGCATTTTATATAGAATGATAACTTTTTTTTTACACTCAAAAAAGTATTTTAAGTCAAAAAGAACCACATTTCGATTATGGACTCCACTATAATCATGAGTACTATGCTGAGGCATGTTTTTTTGTACTTCCATAGTTTTATTTATTTTACCTTTTTTCCACTAGGTAGTTAGTACAACGTACTCATCTTGAATACTTCAGCCCCTTTCGTTATGATTCAATATTTCCAGCTTATCAAGTTTCAACTAGCCTATTAGACCAACAGTATGAGAGAAATTTGGTAGGAAGAAAACATAAATTTTTGCTTTCATTCTTTTAGCAATTTACATGGTTAACTTACAACCAAAACCAAATATTATAAGCTCACCTACTAAATTAGTTAGAGTTTTAAGTTTTATGCACCACTAGCGCAAGGAATTTTTGTACATCAGATCACTTTTATATGTTGTAGCAGATAACCTATCTTATTTTGAATATTACGGATTAAATCTCATATTTAAGGAAGCTTAGGATGTATAACTTAAAACCAATTAATGATTATCCGTATATTGCTTTGTTGGGTATACGAACAAAGTATCACATTTGTACCTGAAAAGATTGGGACCTACATATAAGGTGTAGAGATCTGTTAATGATGTAAAGCCTTTTGGAGAACATCGTGCGGGTTTGGCCTTGTATTGGTGAAAATAAATATTACACGTGGATTTATATGTGTGGCTGATGTGGCAAGACACGTGAATCACTAAGAAAGCGACAACTGGAGAGATGCATTAAAATAAGCATGAGTCGAAATAGGTACGGGCAAATCACCCACGAGATAAAAGGGGTATGGTCGCTCGAGTCTGAATTGCTATATGAAGAGACACCGGCAGAATGAAGATTCATGAATCGTCAATTAATATTCATGAATGATCATAGACTTTATAGAATCTTCATAAACATCTACGATTGACAATTATAACGTCTCATTAATATCATTAATGTTCATAAGATTCAGTCATAAAAGGGAAGAAACGTTATACTTATAGATTCCTATATAAGGGAAGGGGATTTCACTTGTAAAGGGACGTTCTGATTATTATTGAAATATAATTACTTTATTTTGCTTTCTATTGATCACTTTACTATTTCACATTCTAATTTCCTTTCTTATCACTAAGAGAATATAGAATTTCTTGATTATCAGTAGCCCGAGTACTTCTTAAGATTATCAGGTTCCGTTACCGGAAATCTGATAATCTTTTCACTATCCAAATTCATTTTTCTGTCAAAAAATCATGTCGACCGCTAACGATAACAACCAAGAAAACCAGCAAAATCAGCTGAACCAACAGAATCAACAAGAGAATGAAACTCCAATCCATTCACCCCAAAATTCTCCTCAACGCTCCCGAGAAGGGTCACCTGACAGATCAACATCACCTGTGAATGACCAACAAGGGAAAAATCAAACTGCTGAAGATGCATTGAAGCAACTAATTGCAGAGCACGTCAACAATGCTCTTCAAGCTTTTGTTAGTGGGTTGCCAACTGTACCACCAACTCCACCTCCAATTAATACCGCAACCATAGAAAATCCACGCTCGGGACTTGCTAATTCAGGTAGTGGAGGAAGTCCTAGCGAATCTCGCGATGGAAGGTCAGGTATTCCAAATAATTCTGATTTACAAAGTTTAATACTAACTTTGCAAAAACAGCTCAAGGAGCAGAACGATCGCATAGAGCAGATACCTGGTGTGCCACCCATGATTAAAGGAGTGGATATTGATAAATATTCTCAACAACCCTGGAAGCCAAGTGCCGCTCCTTTGCCTATTCTAAAAAAGTTTAAGATGCCCGATATTCTAAAGTATGATAGGACAACTGACCCACGAGATCATGTAACTGCATTTACAACTGGCGTGAAGGGCAACGACTTGATCAAGCAAGAAATTGAGTCAGTGCTGGTCAAAGATTTGGCGAAACAGTCACAAAAGGAGCACTGACATGCTATTCTCTTTTACCAAAAAATTATATTGATTCTTTTGATGAGCTTGCAGATTCATTTATAAAAGCACACTCGGGAGCTCAAAAAATTGAAAAGAGTATAGAAGAAATCTTCAAAATAAAATAAGGAGATACGGAGCTACTCAGGGAATTTGTGGATAGATTTCAGCGTGAAAGGATGATGCTACCACGTGTACCGGATAATGGGCGGCCATGGCGTTTCCAAGTAACTTAAATGAAAAATGCTTAGAAGCCATGAGGAGACTCAAAGAAAGTTTACGAGAATTCCCTGCAACAACTTGGAATGATGTTTACAACAGGTATAGCACGAAGTTGCGGATAGAAGAAAATACTATCACTCAGTTACGGGGAGACGAAAGAATAAGTTCGAGGAGACCAGAAACTGAAAAAAGGTCCGGTAAGAATAGGTACGAACCTTACATGGGACCAACGGGAAGGGATTCACGTTCTAAATAGGAGAACCCGAGGTACGATTCCAGATCAAGGGACAAAGATGCGGGTTCGTCATCCAAGTTTGGAAAGAAGCGAGATACGCGGGACAACAACATTAGTACAAAAGCAAAGATTGGTGGTTAGAATTTCAATGTTAGCAGATCTGAGTTGGTAGCTGTTTTAAGAAGCATGGGAGATAAGGTGCGGTGTCCAAAAGAAATAAGATCGAACCCCAGCAGAAGAAACCCAGATTTCTGGTGCAAGTTTCATAATGAACACGGTCATAAAACAGCAGATTGCAGATTGCTACAAGATGAAGTAGAGCACTTGTTAAAACAAGGTTATTTAACCGATTTGTTTAGTGATAAGGGTAAGCAAGCATATATGAAGAATAGACAGGAGCCACCAAAACCTCCATCACCGAAAAGAATGGTTAACGTGATAAGCGGAGGAGAGGGGGTCAACGGTGTGACATATACGGCTGCAAAAAAGGTGTCAAAAGTCACAGTTACCCACGGAAAGCGAGTTCGCCAAGTTTTGGAAGAAGACAGTATAACATTTGATGATAAAGATGCAGATGGTGTGATAATCCCACACAATGATGCACTGGTAATACCTTTACTTGTACATGATACTAATGTGAAACGAGTTTTGATTGATCCAGGTAGATCTGTAAATATTATTCTTTTAAGAGTGGTAAAAAAGATGCAAGCTGATGAAAAATTGGTACCCAAAGCACGTACCTTACTTGGATTTGACAATTAAAGCGTTGTTACAAAAGGGGAGATAATGCTCACCACATTCGCAGAAGGAGTAGTCAAAGATACGAAATTTCAAGTGATAGATATGGACATGGCGTACAATATGATCCTCGACAGACCTTGGATTCATGAGATGGATGTTGTTCTGTCTACTTTACATCAGGTTATTAAGTTCCCTTCGCAATGGGGAATTAGACAAATCCGTGGTTATCAACAGGCTTCCAGAAGTATCAATTCAGTGGCAAATTCAAGCATAAAAAACGATGTTGCAAATGAAAAATAGCAATTACAGAATTTAGTTGAGGATTTAACAACACAAACCTTAACTGGAGATGGACAAGCGGATGTAGACTCAAGGCCTGATACTATTCAAGAGCCAGAAGAGAACGAAAACATCAAAACAACAATTGAGGAACTCGAAGTTGTGGTACTGTACATTGGCCGCACAAAAAAGTTTACATCGGAACCAACCTGAGCCCAGAGATGAAAAAAGTTAATTGAATTCTTAAAAGCTAACGCAGATTGCTTTGCTTGGTCGCATTCAGATATGACGGGTATACCATCGGAGGTGATGACCCAGAATGAACATCCAACATATCTACCTATCAATCAGAAGAAAAGGAAGCAAGGATCTTTCAAAAACCAGGTGATTTAGGATTAGGTACAAAAGCTTTTAAAAATTGGGTCTATCCGAGAGGTAAAATATTCTAATTGGCTAGCTAATACTGTATTGGTGCCCAAAAAGAATGGTAAGTGGAGAGTTTGTGTAGATTATAGTGACTTGAATAAAGCTTGCCCTAAAGATTCTTTTCCTTTACCACACATAGATCAACAAATTGATGCTACTACAGGACATGAATTGTTGAATTTTTTAGATGCCTATTCAGGATATAATCAAATAAATATGGATCCTTTAGATGAGAAAAAAACTTCCTTTTGTTACAGACAGGGTACCGTTATAAAGTCATGCCTTTCGTCCTAAAGAATGTTGGAGCCATATACCAGAGGTTAGTAACGAAGATGTTTCAAGAACATCTGGAAAAAACCATGGAAGTCTATGTCGATGACATGCTAGTCAAGTCAACACAGGCAGGGGATCACATCCAATATTTGTCAGATACATTTCAGATTCTCTGCAAATTCAATATGAAGTTAAATCTCGAAAAGTGTGCATTTGGCGTGTCTTTAGGCAAGTTTTTAGGTTTCCTTGTTTCTAGACGAGGAATTGAAGTAAACCAGCACAGATTAAAGCCAATGAAGAAATACCGGATATACTCACGAGCATAAAAGAGGTGCAGAGGTTGACAGGTAGGATAACAACATTGGGAAGGTTTTTTTTTAAATCTTCGGAGAAAAGTTTTAAGTTCTTTTCAGTGTTGAAAAAGCAAAGCCAATTTGAGTGGAATGACGAATGTCAACAAGCACTCAAAAATCTAAACACATACTTGTCAAACCCACCGTTGCTGGCTAAACAGAAGGATGGAGAAAGGCTACTCATCTATCTCATTGTGTCAGAAATGGCAGTAATTGCAGTATTAGTTCGAGAAGACAAAGGTAAACAATCTCCAATTTATTATGTTAGCAAGTCCTTATTGGATGTTGAAACTCGATATCCTCATTTAGAAAAACTTGCTTTAGCACTAATAATGGCATCTAGAAAGTTGAGACCTTATTTTCAATGTCACCCTATCTCTGTAGTGACCGCTTACCTCTTACGAAATATATTGCATAAGCAAAAATTATCAGGTAGATTAGCCAAGTGGACTAAAGAACTAAGTGAATAGGATATCACATATCAACCTAGAACTGCGATAAAATCACATGTTTTAGTAGATTTCGTGGCAGATTTCAGCCCAGGAATAGTAACAGAAGCAGAAAAGGAACTGCAGGTATTCAACGGATCTAATCCAGGTACTTGGACCCTATTTACTAATGGCTCCTCAAATGTTAAAGGGACGGGTTTAGGCATTGTTCTAATCTCACCTTCGGGAGAAACTATAAGGCAAGCCATAAAGTGACATCCCATTACTAACAATGAAGCAGAATATGAAGCTGTAATTGCAGGTCTAGAATTGGCACGAGGGCTCGAAATAGAGCAGGCTATAATCAAGAGCAACTCATAGATTGTAGTTAATCAAATGCAGGGGACATATATAGCTAGAGAGGCAAGGATGCAACAATATTTGGAAAAGGCACGAGATTTAATTAGACAATTCCAATCTTGGAAAATCGTGCAAATACCCAGGTAAGAAAATGTTGAAGCAGACGTGCTGGCTAATCTCGCATCTGCTGCAGAAGTAACAAATGAAGAAAATGCTTCCGTAATACATTTGTTTCATTCGACACTTGATCAGGACAAAAATGAGGTAAATTTCAATAATTTAACTTATGATTGGAGAAACGAGATCGTTAATTTTTGCAGTATGGGATTCTACCCGAAGATAAGAAAAAGGCTCAGGCACTTCAACGAAAAGCTACTCGTTATTGCTTGGATCGTGGCTACTTGTATCGAAAATGTTCGCGGACCCTTATCAAGGTGTCTCGGACCTTCTCAAACAGAGTATATGGTGAGAGAAGTACATGAGGGACACTATGGAAATCATGCAGGAGGAAAATCCTTGGTAAAAACTCTAATTAGAGCAGGATATTATTGGCCAAAAATGGAAGAAGATGCGGAAAGCTTTGTGGCCAAATGTGACAAATGCCAATGATATGGTAACAACATGCATCGCCCAGCAGAGTTATTACATCCAGTGATTGCACTGTGGCCTTTCATGAAGTGGGGGATGGATATCGTGGGTCCGCTACCACAAGCCAAAGGAAAGATACAATTTTTACTAGTACTAACTGATTATTTTACCAAGTGGGTAGAAGCAGGTGCCTTCAAACAGGTACAGAAAAAAGAAGTAAGGGACTTCATTTGGTGAAACATCATATGCCGGTTTGGAGTTCCAAAAGAAATCGTGTGTGATAACGGCCCGCAATTCATAGGTGCAAAAATCACTGAATTTTTTTAGAGTGGGCAGATTAAAAGGATACTTTCAACACCTTATCATCCTGTGGCCAATGGACAAGCTGAATCAACAAACAAGGTTATTATTAATAACCTAAAGAAAAGATTAGAGAAGTCAAAAGGAAAGTGGCCAGAAGTGTTATCGGGAGTCTTATGGGATTACCGCACATCAGCAAAAACAGGTATGGGAGAGAATCCATTCTCACTTGTGTATGGTGCTGAAGCCTTAATTTCAGTTGAAATAGGTGAACCAAGTACGAGATACACCCAAGAAACTGAAGAATCAAATGAGGAAGAGATGCGAATAAATCTTGATTTGCTTGAAGAAAGGAGAGAAACAACTCTGATAAGGACCTTGCAGGATTCAAGGTATTGCTGGAAAGGGTGCATATGAGTTAGAAACAATATACGGCAAAGTACTCCAATCAAATTGGAATGCTGTTCATTTGAAGAAGTATTACTTCTGAAAGGGAAAACCCCCAGTCAAGTATCATTTATGCAAGGTTTAGATTTATTCTTTGTTAATTATACTAACCATTTTAGATGATAGGCACAAAGCTAGCCCACACCAAATGATGATTTTAGACCTAAAAGACACGCGTGATGCAAAATTATCCCCGGTCTGGGTTACAACCTTTCTGATAGAAATAAAAGGGTTAAGCAGTCATCATCTAAAAAATATATATACCTCCGAGTCCCGTATGTTTTTTCTTTTCAGGAAATGGACCACATGGAAGGAATAATTAAGTGCTCAAGATTTCATACTTCAAAGCTCTAACACTTGGGGGACTATATATATGGAAGGCAAAGAAGACTAGAAAAGTCAGAATTCGAGTCAAGCATGAGGCAATCTACCCAACAAATCAAAAGTTAAGAGCAAATCAAGAGCCAAAAACACAAGCCTGATTTAGAAAGCTATGATAAAGTATACACTTGCAGATGTAAATTACAAAATCTTACGAGTATCTAGGTTAAAGGCAGTATTTAGTCGTGGGTTGCAAGATATACCCTTGAATTTTGTAAAATCTATTATAAAGAAAACAGTTATGAAAGAGTTGTAGATGTTACTTGAATACACGTAAAGTATACAGTTTGAAAAATACAAAACTTCCTCAAATTATTCAAACAAAATATGTATGTTCCTACTTCTTCATTCGTATGTTTACACCAATATGAAGTTGAGACATCTTCTTCATTAGTGTCGTTTATAAAAGGGTCCTCCTTTATAATTCGTGCTTATTCAAAAAGTCACGGAGCATTGAAGCATTTTTAATGCAAAGTTAAATAAAAAAGGGTGAAATAAAAACTCGCATTTTTAATGCAAAGTTAAATAACAAAGGGTAAAATAAATACTCGCATTTTTAATGCAAAGTTAAATAACAAAGGGTGAAATAAAAACCCAAACATTAAAATAGACAGAAAATAAATCCGAAATTTATATATCAAACTTTGCAAACATAAGGCAAACATTTATCTCCAAACCTCGAAATAAGACAAGGGTAAACCAATAAGAGAGTAGAACAGAAACTCAAAATAAAATATTATAAGGGTTGGACCAAAGCTCAGAAAGTAATATTATATAAACTTGGTTACAACTAAGTATAAATTTAGTTCCAAAACTCCAAAATGAACCAGGGGTAAACTTCCCAAACATTCCACCAATAAAAAAAAACAACAACAAACATTTCAATCAAACTTTCACTATGGGGTAGGTTCTGAACCAGTATTATCAGAAGGATTCAAGATGGCATCATCAGTAGCAGGAGGTTCAACTTGAGCAGAAGAGGTTTGAACAACTGATTCGCCAGGAGCAAGTTCATCACCCACGGGAATGTCTACCTCAGGTGAAGAATAGTTTTGACTCTGGTGAGTTTTCTCAATAGGTTCTTTAGTTTTTGCAATTTCAGCAGCTAAGTCAAAGACTTTTTGGCTTGCCTCCATTAAAGTTTTGAGGCACGTGTTCAAGAAAGTCCAACTATCATCAACAGTAGCTTTGTCCTCAAGGGCTTCAAATTCTCTCTCCCACTGCTCAATTTTGGCACTTAGCTCTTCCTTTTCAGTCAAAGCAGCATCATAAGAAACTTGTAAGGGGGCAAGTGATGTCTCTAAGAACTGAACTTTGTTAGAAGACACACGGAGATCCTCTTGAGTTTGGGTGAGCGTTTGAACAAGCTCATCGGCGTAAACTTCCTTTTGGTTCAGCAGTTCTTTCAAACCTCTAATTTCTTCAGTGGCTTTGGAAAGCTGCTCGGCAAATGAAGACTCGAGGAGGTCTTTATCTTTGCCACTTGACTAGAAGAGGCCTTCTCAATCGCCAACTCTGCTGCCATTACCTTCACTTGTTGCTCCAAGGTACACTTCTCCTCATCTAAAACTTCTTTCTCAACCTCAAGGCCATCAACTGTTCCTTCCAGTTGTCCGCTTTGGTGCGATAGTCGTTCTTTAATTGCTCAGTATGGACGATCCTCTTCATCAGCTCCGTGCCAATTAGGTTGATCTACATGAGGAAAGAAAAATGTGATTACCGAATACAGATGAAAAGAAAGTCACATGCAAAGTCACATGCAAAATAAAAAGCTAAGGCTTATACCTTTAAAGATGAATGGACAATTTCGTTCATCCACGTTAAAGAGTTGTGGCTTTCCAATTTGGACTTCTCAACTGGGCCAATCAACAGTTTTAGCCATACACCGGCTTGGCTTCAGAAGATTACCATCCTCAGGGACTTCGATGGTAACTTTTTTCATTACCCTACTATTACTGGAAGAACTAACTTCAACATGAGAAGTTGTAACAGTATGGGCAGTTGAGGGGGTCAAAACAGCCACGGGCGGAGCAGTAGCAGCAGCAACAACAGGTGCGGGGAACTGAGGATTAATTGGAACAGATACTAGGAAAGAGGCAATAGGCGCTTCCTCAGAAACTAAGTCAAAATCTTCATTATCAAACCCATGAAAAAAAAATTGTTCTATAGAGTCACGGGGTGCGGCGGGCATCTCTTCATCGGATCTCACCAAAGTGGTACTTTCGGGCTCGTGCATGGGAACTGAACTTGGAGGAAGAGTGACTTCATTATTCGAAATAACACGTCTCCCAGCTTGAGACCTACGAACTAACAAGCCCTCCTCTTGTTCCTTTTCACCCTCGGAACCGTGTGCCCTATCAGCTTTTCTCTTTGATGAGGAATTCAAAATCATCTCTTGAGCCATAGACAGAGAAAGTCTAGAAGCAGCAATAGATGCGGCGCTAACACACCGAATGGGAAACCCTAACGAAGAAAGAAGTTAGTAAATTTTCAAGTAAATATGGAAGCAAGGTAGAGAATTGAAAGGAAGGATACCATGAGTCTTCACTTTCCAACCAAACCTATTATAAAGGTACTTCCAAGACCTTCCTTCCATAGTAGCAACAGTCAACAATTTTCCTACCCAACCACGGAAGTATGGAACCTCCTCAACAGCTTCCATGGTTGCTAAAAAAGGAAAAATATACTGTAACGAGATTGTAAATTCTTGTTTCTTCAATAGAAAAAGAAGAAGAAGGTTAAAAAAAAAGTAACGTGCAAAGTTTCATTTTTCTGGAAAAGGCATATTCTCTTCACCCACTAAACCTTTTGTGGGAGCAGCAACGAAACGGGCATACCAGCCACGATCTTTGTCATCTTCAGGGCTAACCAAAACCCTTGTACTCCTGGCCACGAGAGTAAATACCCCAAAACGAAACAGCTTGGGGAATATAGATGAATCAAGTGATAAAAGGTAAAGGGTAAATAGGCCAAATTCGACGAGTATCTTAAGCATGCCACGACTCTCCATACAATAGGACCAATCTGTCCTAAGCAAACATTAAAGAAACGGCAAAATTCTATAATGACTGGATCAATAGGTGGTCTAAAGCCTAATGTAAAGGGATATGTATAAACAAATGGAATAATCGGATTTGTATGAGGTGATCCTTTGATTTGCATTAGGGACAAAAATTGGGAAATCATATTTCCAATGGCATTCACTTCGCACAAGAGAAATCAAGCCCTCAGTAATCTGGGAAGGGTAGACATCAGCACGATCATGGGAAGTCATAGATGTAACTTGATTTCTAATCGATTCTCGATCAGTAGAGAAGGAAAGTTCAGCGGGAACAATCTCATCAACAGTGGGTTCTCGAAGAGGTTCACTACAATCCCTACTTCTAGTAGAAGATCTATGAGAAGATGAAGCCCTAGTTCTAGAGGACGAAGGGGTAGTAACACTGGGTTGAGAAGAAGAACCACGAATAGATACAGACCCTAAACTACGTAATCTGCCACCTCTTCTACTTCTGATAGGAGCAGATGAAGGGGGAAGTTCATCTACTATAACTACTCTACGAGGATCGGGATTTGGAGAAGACTTGGTCGAATAAGAAAATAATACTAGCTGATGAACAAGAACTATTATGGAAGAAGAATACTGTAGATTAAAGGTTTTCATGAAAGCAAAGGCATAAGGAGGTATTTATACGAAGAAGCAACTGTCATATAAAGGAGTTCATGATGGAAACGTCATAATGAAAACAGTCACTTCATAACTGATGCAGCCGCAAAAAAGCCCTAAAAACAGCTGAAGAGTTGCAGATCCAATCAATGAATGCCACGTGTCACAAACATTAAATGGAGGTGACATATGACGCGTTGGTTCTGAAGAAGAGACAGTGATACATGAGAAACTGCGGTAAAAAATTCCCGCCATAAATGTGATCCACTTCCCAAATATTCAATTGCTGAATAATTGGTAAGTGGGGGGACTATCTATATTGGTGAAATTAAATATTACACGTGGATTTATATACGTGGCTGATGTGGCAAGACACATGAATCACTAAGAAAGCGACAGCTGGAGAGATGCATTAAAAGAGGCACGAGTCGAAATAGGTACGAGCAAATCACCCACGAGATAAAAGGGGTATGGTCGCTCGAGTCTGGATTGCTATATGAAGAGACACCGGCAGAATGAAGATTCATGAATCGTCAATTAATATGTATGAATGATCATAGACGTTATAGAATCTTCATGAACAGTTATGATTGCCAATTATAACGTCTCATTAATATCATTAATGTTCATAATGATTCAATCATAAAAGTGAAGAAACATTGTACTTATAGATTCCTATATAAGGGAAGTGGATTTCACTTGTAAAGGGGTGTTCTGATTATTATTGGAATGCAATTACTTTCTTTTGTTTTCTATTGATCACTTTGTTATTTCACATTCTAATTTCATTTCTTATCACTGAGAGAATAAAGAATTTTTTGATTATCAGTAGCAGGAGTATTTCTTAAAATAGGCTTTGACTGAGAATCTAATTCTTTGGTTAAACAGGCCTAAAACGGATATCACACCCTATAAGGGTATTTTTTTTATTTGGATTGCATTCCAAATATTGTGGTATGTTTTAGAATATATGAGAAGATTTGGAGGTGTCGAGTGTAATACTTTTGGAATATTTAATGTAATTTCAAAATTTAAGTATATCATAAAAGTAAATTTTACAAATGAGTATATTATGAAACTTCCCTTATATAATATTTTAAACTCCTACCCACTGAAATTATTCTGAGAAATAACGGTTGAAGCGTACAAAAAAAAATGTCAAAGTGGAGTTTCTATCCGACCCCATTTTATCTAATCTGTCTGCTTCACCATAGAGGAAAAAAGAAAGAACTAAAAAGAACAAAAAGAAGAGAGAATGGAAAAGTCGAAGAGGACGGTGGCCACTGGGTCACCATTTTACCAACTTTTAGCATAATTGTTTGTTACTCTATCAAAATTTTATTGACTATAAAAGTTTTTTTTTTCACCAACCACTGTCCACTGACCAAGTCTTCACAAGCAAATTTCTCTTTCGCCTACTCTGAACTAACCTATAGTTGTCCCCTTTCTTTCTTCTTCATTTAAATTATCCACTTATTTATTATTTTTATTTGGTTTTCGGTTGATGTTACGAGAATTTTGGGTGGTATTTGAAAATGTATTTTGAAAAAAAAAATCATTTAGCCAGTTGTTTTTAAGAAATCCAAATATATTCTCAAAAATTATATTTCAAAAAATCGGAAAGTGTATTACAGCTATGGGGTGAGGTGATTTTCGGAATGCTCCAAATTCGACTTGAGCATCTAAATCTGGGTCAATACCAGCAAAAACATCTCTATCAGACAGAACATGGCGCGACTTCAGATTTCCGAGGACATGGTCTTTGATAGGAAGGTGTGAACGTCGCGCCTTAGGGTTGTAGGTTAGGAGGTGGTTGAGGCTAGTCTGATAGGGTTGTGTCTCCGACTGCTAGTGGTTTATGTCGTGTTCTCACTATTCTCTGTTTTCATTGTACCGGCTTTATTTACTGATTATTGTTGTTGCTTCTCATTTATTTTCTGGTTCTTATGTTGCTGTCATTATTTCTTGTTTTTTCTGTTGATGGAACTGGTATAGTGTTTCTTTTTGTTGTCTTGAGCCGAGGGTCTTTCGAAAACAACCTCTCTATCCCCTCGGGTAGGGGTAAGGTCTGCGGGCACACTATTTTCCCCATACTCTTTTACAGCTATGTTTACCAACCTGCAGCTACCTTTACCTTTTCTTTTCTTTTCTTTTCTTTTTTGTCTACCTATTTCACGTCCTACTCCTAGCCGATCTTCTCCTACTTTTCTTATTTTTATTATTTTATATGTAACGTGAAAATAACTACTAAAACAATCATGCGTCATAATTTACCCATCGGACCCTTTAATTAAGTTTTCATGACGTTACCATGACGTCATCATACGTGATTAGGATTCATTGGTTGAGAGTCCTTCGCAACAACTTCCACTGGTCCCACATGTGGGGTCCATTTTAATATTAGAATCACACCACGAAGGAATCTCACCAACTTTTTGCCTAGTTGGTGGGCTGCCTCTGTTCATGCAAGCCTTACTTGGTGTAGTCAATAAACTCACCCCGTCTAATTCAGACACCTAGCATCCATTATCCTTATAGAGTATAGTATATATATTTCCATTCCCTTCCTTCAAAAAATCAGAAACCAAAGGAAAGGAAATTAAGAGAAAGCAAATAAAACAAACGAGAAAAGCTAAAGGAAAAGAGAGCAGAATTTGCAAGAGTTAAAAACTCAAGAAATTAACATGGCTGAGAACGGTGCAGCACAGGAAAATCAGGTTGCCAAACACCAAGAGGTTGGCCATAAGAGCCTTTTACAAAGTGATGCTCTTTACCAGGTATAACAATTTCCTTGAATTTTTCTAAGTACATGCAGAGATAGATTCAGAATTTTAAATAATTTGTAATACGTAGATGATGTTTCATATTCACTGCATAATCCGAATGTGAATGAACTTTAAAAGTAACGATTTGTAACTGAACTAGTAGTTTTGACAAAAAAAATATAGGTTTATACTTGAAAAATTCTAATTAAACACAACAAATGTTTATTTTGAACTCATAATTATAAAAATAAAATGAGTTTATTCTTAAGAATATTAAAAATTGAACCATCAAGTTTGAATATATTCTTAATCTGGCTATGACATAGTAATTTTTTTTTTTTTGTGGCTGATGATCATTGGTTGCTACATGTTACAGTACATACTTGAGACCAGTGTATATCCAAGAGAGCCAGAACCCATGAAAGAGCTCAGAGAATTGACTGCTAAGCATCCATGGTGAGTTTATTATATATAAAATCTATGTTGCGCGGACTTTCTAAAATCGCCGCACCTGTGTCGAATCCTCCAAAATGGCACTCACCTATCAATATTTTTGGAGAGTCTGAACAATTCCTAAAGAATTTTTTTTTTGTTACTGAATAATATGAATATTTGTTGGAAACAGGAATTTAATGACAACTTCAGCGGATGAAGGACAATTCTTGAGCATGCTATTGAAATTGATCAATGCTAAAAACACCATGGAAATTGGTGTTTACACTGGCTACTCCCTTCTTGCTACTGCTCTTGCTCTTCCTGATGATGGAAAGGTACATTTCATATGGAAAATGATCAATTAAGATATTCACATACTGCGTCCTCTTGAAAAGACTTGCCCACAATAAAATAAAATAAAATAGAATAAAACAGAAACGTAGAAGAAAATAAGAAGGAGAATGAAAAAGAAGAGCAGAAAAGTCTATGAGGACAAGTGGACATTTGACTTTAGGCACAACGCCATTCAACTTTTGAAAATTTCAGATCGACTTCAATGTGTTCCTTATAATAAGGGGAGGATTTTACTTAAATTGAAATTGCATTTAACTCAAACTACTTACTTTCTAATTAAACAGCAGTAATTAATTAGAGCTAGTGATATTATAATTCGAGTTACTGTAACATTTTAATTACTAGATTAATATTGTCGCCTCAACGACAACGTACCAAAAACAAGTTATTATAAGTCGTGCACGCCACTTTTGCTTATCATGGGTCATGACCAAACATACCAACAAAACCATTTCAAATATATGATTCGGAATATTAAATGAGCAAATTCGACTTTGAGAAGAAAAGAAAAACCAGAGACAATTAAAGAACTAATTGCTTTTTTTTTTTTGGTTTGATTCTGCAGATATTGGCAATGGATATTAACAGGGAAAATTACGAAATCGGGTTGCCCGTAATCCAAAAGGCTGGCGTGGCTCATAAAATTGATTTTAGAGAAGGTCCTGCTTTGCCTGTTCTTGATTTAATGATTGAAGATGTAAGTTTCACGCATCCTCTCTTTTATATTCAGTGCCGGGTCAATTACGTGCGGTATACCTATCTATAACAACATCTTTATATAATAGTCATTCACTATAGAAGTTGAGTATTTCTTGAAACCAATTATTATATTATATTATAATGTATGTTTTCTATAACAGCACTTCACTATATCAGCCAAAAAATATCAAAACAAACGAGACTGTTATAGAGATGTTTGACTGTGTTTGCGAGTTGTGCAGAACTCAATATTTCACAATTATATTTTTTGGATTCGCTACTGTTGCATACATAAAATCCAATGACCCTTTTATGTTTAATTTTCTTTAGACTTCATAATGATTCATTTGAATTGTTATTTTCTTATCAGAAAAATAATCATGGCACGTATGATTTCATTTTCGTGGATGCTGACAAGGACAATTACATCAACTACCACAAGAGGATAATAGAATTAGTGAAAGTTGGTGGTGTGATTGGCTACGACAACACCCTATGGAATGGTTCTGTGGCGGCTCCACCTGATGCCCCTATGAGGAAATACGTAAGGTACTATAGGGACTTCGTATTGGAACTTAACAAAGCTTTGGCAGCTGATCCAAGAATTGAGATTTGCATGCTTCCCGTTGGCGATGGAATTACCCTGTGCCGCCGCATCAGCTGATTTATTCTGTTTATCCAACTACTTTTGTTTTCCTTTTGATTTGTGAATTAATATCTGTATCTCATGATTATTATCGCTATTAATATTTCTCTATATTTGTATTTCAAATATTGTACTTCTGAAATTGTAACAAATACTTAACACTTATCTCATTTCGCTTGAGTAAAGTTTATTTACAAGATGATATTTTATCCTCCGTAAATGTATTTGAATTCTTCAAGAAAGATCTGGCTAGTGTAGCTCGGAGCTAGCCCATCGAGGATCGACTGAACCCATTCACTTTGGTCTAATTTATGTATTTATTTTAAAAAATTTATTAGATATGTAAAAATTATTAATTTAGAACCCAGTAACTCAAAAATACTAGAACCCGAACCCATAAGCTTTAAATTTTAGCTCCTCTTCTGTCAATAGGTACTACAAGTTTTTGAGAGCTTTAGGGAGCTGCTGCCTATTAATTTTAATAATCCCATGGTAGACGATACATTATTTAGCGCCCACAGAAAATTAAAGTCAAAGCCGCTAGCTGTTTTCGTACCCTTTGCAATATAGGAGGAGCACTAAAAGGGTGTTTGGTTAAGCTTATAAGCTGGTCAAACTGGCTTATAAACATTTTTTGGCTTATCTATGCGTTTGGTAAAATTAAAAGTGCTTATAAGCCAAAAATAAGTCAAAAGTCATAAGTTGGTCTCCCCCAACTTATCAAATTTCAGCTTATAAGCAGTTTAAGTTTGACCAAAATATTTACTATTCTATCCCTAAAATAGTTCTTTTCAAAACGAAACTCTTCGTATACCTAGTTCTTCAGCTGCATAATATTAATTTCAGCACTTTTATCCAAACACGTAACTGCTTAATTTAAATCAGCTTCAGCACTTAAAAGTGCTTTTCAGCACCTAATGCTTATCAGCTACTCTAAATCAGCTAAGCCAAACGGGCTCTAAGATTGAACAATGAAAGAGGTAAGTAGTTTTCTAGCTATTGCAGCTTATGAATTACTAATTTAGAAGCGTTTTCTGAATTACTTCTAAGAGGTCGTTTGGTAGAGTGCATTACACAAAATAATGCTTGCATTAGTTTGTGTATTAGTAATACCTTGCTTGGTACACTTTTTCAACTTATGTATAACTAATACAAGCATTAATCGTACATCCTATTTGGTATTATCTTGTGTATAGCTAATGCATAGCAAAACCATGGTATTAGTAATACCAAGGCTATTAATGCATGCATTAGTATGTCTAAAGACAAAATTGTCCTTAAAGTCCCTTAAAACTAAAGAATATAGAGGGCATTTTTGTAAACAACTATTTTTTTTAAAAATTATGCAATGCATTATAGTTTTTAATAGACCACACCAAACAATGTATAAAAAATAATCTCTGCATAACTAATACTTGCATTACTAACACATGCATTATGAGCATGTGATTTTTGCCACGCTTAAATTACTCCTATAGAATTCGTTAAAAACTAGGATTTTTCTTTTATTATTTGAATTTTAGGGATTAATTGCGTGATTTTGTGTTTTGCTTTTTGTGTGCATTTTTAGTTGTCATAAAAATGAAAGAAAAATTTACAAAATAGCATAATAGCATTTAGGATCCAATTCTAACATTTTTAGTAAATTGATATTGCGAAAAATAAAGAAATACCAAAAATATTTCTTTTGCATTTTTATTTTGGTCTTAGTTTTTTTTTTTTTAGGAATTAGTTAATTTAGAAATTAATTAGTACAATTGTAGAGTTACTTTGGGTCTTTTAGTTTTATTTTTGCATTCAACAAAATTCAAAAAATAATAAATAAACAAAAATCAAAGAAGAGCAACTAAGAAGATAATGGGTCTTCATGGATTACCCAATTTTGGGCCAAATCCGGTTGAAATGGCCCAAGACCCCTCCAAACCGGACCTGTCCAGCCCAAGCCGCACCCGGTCCAGCCCCATTTATAACAAAACGACGTCATTTTGTTAAAATTAATCCTGGTCGTCGAGGATCTTTGATCCAACGGCTGGGAAGTGGGTTAATTTTAATATATTAGTGTCCGAACGCTACCCCTACCCCCTTTTCGTTTCTCAAAACCCCACCACCCACAACCCTAATTCCTCGTCGCCCTCCGCCTTACGCCGCCGCCGGAAATCGCCTCACGTCGGCGGCTGGTCTCCAAACTTGCCCAAATTTACACCATCAAATCCTCTTTCCCCCCTCTTTTCAATGCCCCAAATGATTTCCTTCAACTCTGAGCCCAGCCTTTCGAATATCAAAAAATAGCGACGCCGCCATCACCGTGCACGGAGGCGCCGCCACCCAAACCCTACCAAACTCACACCCCATAACCCCCAGGTCACCACAAACCCCATACCCTTGATTATTTCATAAAAAACCCTAACCGGATGGCCCTAATCTCACATCTAGGGTTTCAAGCAAGGTGGCTCATGGTTACTAGTGTCCAATGACCCTGAAAATGATATTATGCGTTTATTCGACATGGAATAAACATATAATATCATTTTTGGGGTCAATTTCAAGTTAGCGCATCCAAAGCCGAAAATCAGCGAGTTTATCCAATTTTTCTTCTCTTCTTCCTTTTTCTGGTTTTATTATATTGTTTGGCTTCGTGATTAAGTGATTTAGATTGCTGTTCATTTAGGGTTTAGTATCTGAGTTTATTCTTCTCTGTTTTCTTATTTTTAGCATGAACTTGTTCTTTAATTGTTTAATCTGTTTCAGTAACATGAATGATGAGTTTATTTTCTTTTAGGTAATTGTTGTTTTTCATTAGTAAACTCTTTAATTTTTTGATTTGTTTTTAGTTTAATTTGGACTTGATTCGGTCAATTTAAATGTTTAGGGGTTAGTTTAGCTTTGATTAGTTTAAGCATTAGTTGGATTTTTCTGTTAGCCTTTGTTTGTTTTTAAGATCTCTATTAGCTTAACCTTAGGTTTTCAAGTCAGTAATTGTTCAAAACGAGTTGAGTTAAGTTCTTTTGATTGATAATTGTTCTGCAATTCAGTGTTCATTTTTCAATTTAATTAGGCTTAGGGTTTGGATATAGCTGATTTAGATTCACTAGGTTCAACCACAGTTATTTGACTAAGGTAAAGGGGTTTGGTTGGGTTAGTAATTTCAGGGGCAATCAAGGGCAGTTTAGGGATTGAAAATGGGCTGGTTTGTTAAAGATTAGTAATTTCAGAATAGAAGTGAGGGTAGTATAGGTATACCATAGGTAGAAAACGAAGCTAGAATACCCTAGGTCCTTCTAGAAGGGGGCCTTAGTGTAAGTTTCTGCATTCTTAATGCAGTAACTTGGGCAACAAGCCACAAATTCAGGGATTAATCACTCAATTCTGAAATAAAAAAAGGGGGGAAATGGGGAGTGAGTTCCAGAACATTCTGCTCTCTTTCTTGCCTATAAAAGGCAGGCCCAGTGCCTTCATGAACAAGTTTAGATCCCTGAAAATTCCCCAAAACCTTCCAGCTCTTAATTTCCCCCAAAAATTATCCCTGCAAATCTGATCTTCAAAATTTGAATTTCAAATTCTAAGAAGTTCAAAAAACCTGAATTCTATAGTTAGAAGTTCTGTAGATCTTAATTCCCTTCCAAAAAACCAAAACCAAAACAGAAATACAGTAGAAAACTCTCAAAAACACTGTTACATGGCATTTCCTAGGTTAATTCTGAATTTTAAACATTGATTTTATTTCTTAGCTTGATTTTTGAACTGCTGAAGCTTCAGAAGTCTTCCGAGTGAAACTCAAGTGATTTTGGAGTGTATTCGAGCTTGTTTGGGTGTAATTGGTTCTGATTTGGCGTGATATCATTGCCTGGGTTTTTAACTAAGTCTAAGTTGATTCCTGCTATTGGAAATTGTTGGTTGATCCTGCTGATTTGCTGCCAACTGCTGTTGACTCCTATTTTCCTTGTTGATTTGACACTCAGGTACATTTTCTCAATCTAGGAGCTCTGGAAACATGCATTATTGAGTTTGCATGACCTTGAAGTTGTATGATGAAGAAACACCGAGTTATTCTATTTGAATTTGTCCTCGTGGTTATTACTAGTTCTATCACTAATAAAATTGGTTTGAACTATACCTGTTTGTAGCTAAACAGACTGTGGACTTTTAGATGATGATTGTTGAATTATTAGCTTAGTTTAATTTCAGTTTTAGTAATCAAATGTTATAATTGGACTGGACTGTAACAGGACTCCATAAATTGAGTTTGACATTTGGACTGATTATTGTTAGTTTACGACTGCCTCTGTGTGATAACTGTGATTTGCATAATTAGTTGATAATAAAATAGCATCAGTTAGTTTCTTAAAAGTCAGGAAGTAATCAGAGTTTGAAGCTAGTGATTAAACTGAAATTTTGAAATGTATAGGAAATGTTCAGCTTTAATATTAACGTTTCTGGTGCTGGAAGCGGGTTCAAACTAAGAGGGTCCTCCCTTTTGTTTGAATCCGGACTTGAACTTGAGGCCCGAATTTATAAATGCAAATTAATTGGGCCCTTTTAGAGACAAAATAAATAGAAAATCTTAGTTTGCTTTAGGTTGGCCTTGAAATAATAAAAATGAGATGAGCCTCGCCAAACAAAATGCATGATTTGCGGGGCCCTCATTAAATCCTTCATTAAAAATACTTAGAATTTGGGGCGTGCCGTCTAAAAAATTTCACGGCCCTCCGCAAAGATAATAACCCGTTAGTCGCTTTAGGCGCGCTTTTTAATGATTTTACCTTCTTAAATACAGGTGTGCATTTCATGCAACCCAAATCCAAATCCAAAACGTCGAATAAGAATGTGTCGAGGATCCGGGTGCATTTCATGTGACGTGATCCAAAAATACATTTTTAAACGACTGTTCACTTTTTTAAAAAATTAACTAAAAAGCGATAAATAATCTTAAAATTGCACTATATGTTGGAACATGCAAAAATTAGATTTTAGCCAATTATAATAATTTAAGCGACCGTGCTAGAACCACGGGATCCGGGGGTGCCTAACACCTTCCCTCGGGTCAACAGAATTCCTTATTCAGAATTTCTGGTTCGCAGACTCTAATTGGGAAGTCGATAATTTTCCTCGATTTGGGATTTAAGTTAAATCGGTGACTTGGGACACCGAAAGCCAATCCTATCCCAAGTGGCGACTCTAAAAAATAAATAAATAATCCCATTTCGAATAATGTCACTTTAAATGGAAAAACTCCCTTATACATTATCCTTCGGGGTAGGTGTGTAAAAAGGAGGTGTGACATGCATTACTAATACACCATATATAACATTATTCTTATACATCCTACCAAACGACCCCTAAGGGTTTTCTTTTGGCATTCGGGTACATTACATAGTGCAATATTTGAATGGCCCAAATAATTGGAACGAAGTCCTCTCTTTTTCTATGGGTATCATCATTTTCCAAAAATTATTTTGTATTTGTTAGCCGAAAAAATATATAAAATTTGTATATACAAAAATTATACAAATTTTATAAAAATATTCGAATATTATTTTTACAATGGGTATACAATATCATTTGTCCCTGTTTTTATCCCCACCAATTGGACTGAAGTCCTCTTATTGCCTAAATTCAATTACATGTTTTCATTTATATTTTTCTTCGTTTGAGTCCACGTGATAATTTGTTTTTAAGTACTTATCGTACTCCAATTTTGTATTAGTGCATCATAAAACATCACTTCCTTTTTGGTAACTCGAATCGAGTGGCATAGACCGACCAGCCAAATTTAGTTCTTAGACTTCTAAACTTTGTAAAAGTAATTGGAATGTGAGTGAAATAATATATGAAGTCATAGCTCGAGAGTAGGGGTGTAAAACTGAAACTCACACCAATTCGATAATTCAGGTAAACTAAGAAAAAAACTCGACCATGATTTAGTTTGATTTGGTTTAGTGTTGGGTATAAAAACCCGACCATAATTAGTTTGGTTTGGTTTTAACTAAAAAGTCAAAACGAAACCAAACCAACCAGACATTATATGTATAGAAGTTTTAAATTTATTTAATACATAAAAATATTTATTATAGCGTAGTTTATAAATATTTTTTAAGATATTTCATAGTTTTATCTTTTAGCGTATTATCTCAAGTTTGGACTTATACTTTTTGGATGCTCCAATAAATTTCATAATCCATAAATGTTAGTTACTCAAATAAATCCTAAAACGAAATCAAATCAATATTAATGCTAATAAAAGACATGCAATTCAATTGTACTATGAATGAAAATAGTTGTGGATATCTATTTTTAGTTTTTTCATGGTTTAGATGAAATGCATAATTTATTTTTCTTTTAGTGTTTAGTTATGTAAATAATAGAACTTATTAGTCGTACTTATTTTAGCAACTTAGTAATTTTAAATAATATTTGTTTTCATTATGGCTTATTAATAATATTTATTTTATGTGATTTTATTGTCTTTATTGTTGAATATTTTAGTACAATGCCATGACTCATCTCATATTTATGTTATTTTATTAAAAATTCCTTTATATAGTTCTGTCTACTAGGATTAAAGAAATATTTGGAACACAAATTCTATGTTTTGTGCTATGGAGACTTTATGAAGAAAAAAAACCGAAAAAACCCGAAAATCCAAAAAAATCTGAGAAAAATCGAGATTAAAAAACCTGACTTATATTGGTTTGGTTTAATCTTTAGATTTAATAACTCGACACAATTGGTTTAATTTGATAATTGAAAAATCCGAACCAACCTGACCTATCTATACCCCTATGCGAGAGGTTCTCTATTTCCCTAATTAAGATACACCACAAAATTTAAGCAATTTTTTTTTATATAAAAAATTTCCTCTAATTATTCGGCCTATATATTGCTATTTTCATGCAAGACATCTTGATTGGAGTAATTAGAAATACTCTATCAAACTAACAGTCCAAACTGTTGGATTTTTTTTCTAAACGGTATGAATGAAAAATGAAAAATACTTTTTGGATTGCAGTTATTCATCTCACTTTTACATTTTCTATAAATTTAGAGGCTTGGCCTCATTTTTATACACACGAAAAATTTCTCTTGTCTTCTCTACATTGTTGCATTTTTTTTTTCAAAACAAACATATAAATGTCAAGTGTGATGCTTTGTTTCTTAAGTTCGCTGATGTTCTGTAATTTCGATTACCAGTATTACAAAATAATTTTTTCGTTCTATACTGGGAGGAAGTAATCCGTAACCTTGGGCAACAGTGAGGGATTAAATTTCTTAAGGACAAACAAGTAATTTGTGGACTCGAAAATTATTTAATGTTTTATTTTATTGAACTTACATTTCTTTACTACTCTGATTTTCTGATTTCAAACACAGATTACTAACACAAATAATTTGATTTGAAAGAAACCCTCATCTATTCTATCTCCGAGGTTCCTAGCTAACCTAAGTGAACTAGGAGCAGAGAGTTGGATCATAACCAACTTGTACCAAAAATCCAGCTAAACCAAACTACCTATAGAACTGTTGGTCAAACATCCAAGATTCTCCAGTATCATGGTCAAAGACTCATGTGGTCGCGAATGCTGGCGTAAAACTGAAGTCAACGTTGACGACCACTTCATTATTCGCCCTGAACCTCTTACTGTCGAATCCCTTAATATCTAATGAAGATGCCATTAGCGAATATTTAGCAGATCTCTCTGTATCGACACCACTCAGTGTAACCAAGCCCTTGTGGGAATTTCATCTTCTCTTAGCACATAAATGTGCTGTTCTGAGCTTCCTCATGCTCTTGGTGATGGAATTGACTTATACTTACTATATATATATCATTTAAAAGTTAAAACTTTAAGAGATAATACACTCATTTTACTTATTTTGCTAACACTGCCCGCCCTCACTTGCGCACTACTAGAAATCAGGTGATTTCCGTCCAAGGCTTTTCGATCAATTTTGGTCGGAAAAAAAAAAAGAGTATTTGGTCGCAAAAGAAAAATAAATAAAAATTCCGACCGACTTCGGTCGGAAATTGGTCAAACATTTGGTCATACTTGTATATAATGTACAAAAGTAATTATTTATTAAAAAATTTTCAAATTTCCGACCGATTTCGGTCAGAAATTGGTCAAATATTTGTCATACTTGTATATAATGTACAAAAATAATTGTTTATTTAAATTTTTTCAAATTTCCGACCGAAATCGATCGGAAATTGGTCAAATATTCGTCATACTTGTATATAATGTACAAAACTAATTATGTATTAAAAAATTTCCAAATTTCCGACCGAAATCGGTCGGAAAGTTTGAATTTTTTGTTTCCCACCCAAGATAAAAAATTATATATATTTAATTAACCAACCGAAATACTTATAATTCATTATTGGAAAAACATTTTTATACAAATTAAAATATAAATTTAATAATATTTGTGTGTGGGTATATATGCTTCCACTACTAGCTAAAAGACAAAAGACCATATATAGAGGCTTTTGGTGATGGACATTGGTATTATGATAAGGAGGAATCAGAGCTCAGTACGAGGCCGCCCGAGGATTAGGTGGGGCGCCTTGATTGAGGATAAAGCTCAGGAGTTGGAAGGAAGGTGATCGGCAATGGGAGCTTGGAGAAGTAGTGGGGACGCAAATACTATGTGGTCGACGACGGCGGACTGTATAAGGAAAGCGACGAGAGAGGTGTTAGGGATATCTTTGGGCCGCACCGGTGGCCACAAAGGAGACTGGTGGTGGAATGCAGTTGTCCAAGGTAAAGTGGAAGCGAAGAAGGCGGCTTACTTGCGGTTAGTAGGGAGCACTGACGAGGAGGAGAAGAGAGCGAACAGTGAGAGATATAAGGTAGCTAGGAAATAGGCGAAGATGGCAGTAACGGAGGCTAAGACGGCAGCTTTTGCTCGTCTGTATGAGGAACTAGGGAACAAAGGCGGGGAGAAGAAGTTATTCCGACTCGCTAAGGTGAGAGAGAGGACGGCTCGAGATCTGGACCAAGTGAGGTGCATAAAAGATGACGACGGCAAAGTTTTGATGGGGATGACCAGATTAAGAGGAGATGGAAGACCTACTTTCATAAACTTCTAAATGAAGAAGGGGATCAGGATATTGTATTGGGTGAATTGAGGAATGCCGACAATCCCCATGAATTAAGTTATTGTAGGGACATTGAGGTCGATGAGGTCATGGAGGCAATACGTAAGATGAGGAGGGGCAGAGCTACCGGGCCAGATGAATTTTCCGGTTGAACTTTGGAGGTGTGTGGGTAGAGCAGGCTTGGAATGGCTTACTGGGTTGTTTAATGTTATATTCAAGACTAATAGGATGCCTGAAGAGTGGAGGTGGAGTACAATGGTTCCGTTGTATAAGAACAAAGGCGATATCCAGAGCTGTAACAACTATAGGGGTATTAAATTACTAAGTCATACTATGAAAGTCTGGGAGAGAGTGGTAGAAATGAGAGTGCGAAGGACGGTGTCTATTTCAGACAACCAGTTCGGGTTCATGCCGGGGCGATCTACCAAAGAAGCTATCCACCTTATTAGGAGGATGGTGGAACAATACAGGGATAAGAAGAAGGATCTCCACATGGTGTTTATCGATCTAGAGAAAGCGTACGACAGGGTTCCTAGGGAGGTCTTATGGAGATGCTTAGAGGCTAAAGGGGTCCCGGTTGCCTACATTATGGTGATTAAAGACATGTATGATGGAGCTAAGACGAGGGTTAGGACAGTAGGAGGCGACTCCGAGCATTTTCCGGTTGCTACGGGGTTGCACCAAGGGTCTGCGTTCAACCCTTTCCTATTTGCCCTGGTGATGGATGCCATAACGCATCATATTCAAGGGGAGGTGCCATGGTGCATGCTATTTGCTGATGACATAGTCCTAATTGACGAGACACGACGCGGCGTCAACGAGAGGCTAGAGGTTTGGAGACATTCCCTTGAGTCAAAAGGTTTCAGGTTGAGCAGGACGAAGACGGAATACCTTCACTGCAAATTTGGGGCCGAGCCGACGGAAGCGGGAGTGGAAGTGAGGCTTGACTCTCAAGTCATCCCTAAGAGGGGTAGTTTCAAGTACCTTGGGTCAGTTATTCAGGGGACCGGGGAGATCGACGAGGATGTCAGATCGTATAGGGGTGGGGTGGATGAAGTGGAGGTTAGCGACGGGAGTCCTGTGTGACAAGAAAGTGCCAACGTTACTGAAAGGTAAGTTTTATAGAGCAGTGGTTAGGCCTGCCATGTTGTATGGGACCGAGTGTTGGCCGGTTAAGAACTCACACATCCAGAATATAAAAGTTGCAGAGATGAGGATGTTGAGGTGGATGTGTGGGCATACAAGGATGGATAAGATTAGGAATGAAGATATTCGAGAGAAGGTGGGTGTGGCCCCCATGGAGGACAAGATGCGGGAAGCAAGACTCAGATGGTTCGGGCACATTCAGAGGAGGAGCACTGATGCACCGGTGAGAAGGTGTGAGCGACTGGCTGTGGTGGGCACGAGGAGAGGTAGAGGGAGACCTAAGAAGTATTGGGGAGAGGTGATCAAGCAGGACATGGCGCGACTTAGGATTACTGAGGACATGACCCTTAACAGGGAATTGTGGAGGTCGAGCATTAAGGTTGTAGGTTAGGGGGAAGTTGTGAATATTTCTACAGCGCACTAGAGTGAGACTAGCCAGTAAGGAGTTAGTCGTAGGATACTTCTGATCAGCTACTGATGCTGGGCTTTATCTGTTGGTTATTAGTATACTTTCCATCCTTTTCATATTTCCTATATTTCTTATACTGCTGTTATTATTGTTATTTTATGTTATGTTATGTATTCTATGTTATTTTATGTTATTTTATTATGAGTCTATTGATAGTACTAATATATCGTCTCTTGTTGCTTTCTTGAGCCGAGGGTCTCCTGAAAACAACCTCTCTGCCCCTCGGGGTAGGGGTAAGGTCTGCGTACATATTACCCCCCAGACCCCACTTGTGGGATTATACTAGGTTGTTGTTGTTGTTGTTGTAACTCTATTGGACTCTAAGTACCTAAAATTAATACTTAACCGGGCTAATGTGTAATTGCCAAAACTTACACTTAAACTATTAAAAGACTCAATTGCTTTCACGGAAAGCTTAAGCTGAAAGACAATCCTAACTAACTTAACCTCTAGGTACAACTACGCAAGCTCCTTGATGATAGGCTATAATTACGTATTTTAGTCGCTTATTACACTCTAATTTACTGCACTTTAATTGAGTTTGCGCTTTAATCGCTAGTGTTTTGCACTAACGGTGTATTTTATGCCTTGTAGGAGTGATTCCGAGATATATAGATGTTATGGAATGAATTCAAGTGATTTGGAGCTTTGAAGTCTGAGTAAAAGCCCAAGGAATTAAGCCGGGATCGTATTCGGGGATCAACGGATGATAAAACAACAAAACGAAGACTCGAGTAGGCATATTGCACACTGTCTAGTAAAATGCACATAACTTTTTGCTCAGAACTCCATTTGGACTCCACAATATACGGTTGAAAAGCTAACTCAAGGGACTACAACTTCTATGTTGTACATTTTTCCAAATTCCAAACAGAACAGGGTCAAAAATGCGATTGAAACTGCAACTGCGGACCTAACGCGGCAGAACACTGCTGCAGATTCTGAAGGCCACTCTGGCCGCGGTCCTGGCGTAACCGCGGTAGGACCGCGATAGGACGCGTAAATTTCAGGGACTAAAGTGCAAAATACGGGATTTTAAGCCCTAAACCCTATATTAAACGAGGGAAGCCGGCCAAGAAAGGAGAGAATGATTTTTGGAAGTGAAAAACATCAGAAGGAAGGGCAAGAGGCAAGGAGGATCATTGGGCATCAATCTTTAATCTTCTTCTTTGTTCTTTTACCTTTGAATATGAATTCTTTTGTGATTTTTGTTATTTTCATGAGTAGCTAACTTTTTTTAATCTAAGGTTTTGGTGAAACCCGTTTGGGATGAATTGGTTGTTATAAGTAATATAGATTTGAATTAGTTTAATCTCTATTTGTTCAACTATGTTTTAATTGTGGTTAATTGAAAGGATCCTTAATTAGCCGTTCCTATTTATTATGTATCTGCTTGAGAGAGAGTGCATATTTAGGTAGTTGTTTCAACAACATCACTCCCGGAGTATAGGCGAGAGTCATAACCGAGGGTTTAGAGGTTGGATTAGAGATAACGATACCTCGGGTGCGATCTAAGTGAACTGTAATGCGAATCTAGCTAGCGTAGCTTGAGAGAGTGCGTATAGTAAATTATCATAATTGCTTGAGAGAGATTTATGATAGCTGGAGAGTTCATGATTGATAGAGGCAACTAAGTCAAAGCTATAAGAAACATAAAACTAAGGAAATCAACAACGGGGGAAACCATTACCTTAGACCTTTATTCCAATTGTTTACAATTCAAGCATAGTTAGTTTTCAGCTGTTTATTCATTTTCAATCTTGTCTTCTTAGTGATATTAAACAGATACAGCTAAACCTTAGTTCTCTGTGGGATTCGACTCCGGACTTTTAGACCGGATTATATTTGCAGCGACCGCTTATCCTTTTTAGGACTAGAGTTGGGCGTGATCAAATTTTGGCGCCGTTGTCGGGGAACTAACGGTGTAGTTGTAGCTGTATATATTGCTAGGTTCAAGTTTGAACTTTTAGTTTGTTTTATTTTTTTTTTGTATTTTTTTATAACTGTTGATTTGAGAAACATGACATCTTGGAATTATGAGAATTTAGGTGTAGATAATTCTACTATTGGTCTCCATACATATTGTGAAGGAAACCACCCGTGGCAAAATTTTCAAAACGTTCCTAAGAGCGAGTTATGTGCACCAACTCAATCTTATTTGTGGAATGTGTGTGATGTGCGTGGTGGTAAAAATGGTCACCTTCATGGTTGTGCTTATATTTTTTATTTTCCCCCAACCCCTTACTATGGTGGTTCTACCTTTTCTTGTGAAGTTAATAGGAACAAAGAACCTGGGAATGTGGACCTGAAGGAGATCAAGGATATGCTAAAGTGCCTTCTGGAACAAAACAATGAGAAACAATTGCACATAGAAAGGCAAGAGGCAACTATTCGCAAGTTGGAGGCTCAATTGAGTCAAGTGGTTGGAGCTTTTAATGCTCAACAAGCCAATATTGATGATAGTAGCCAAGAAGAGCCTGAATTTGAGGTGTTAATTGGGGAGGTCAGAGTAGAACATCAACAACCTAGCCAACTAGAATTTGAGGATGTCAATGTTGAAGAAGTAATACTAGAGTCAACCAAGGACATTGAAGATACAAATTTAGTTGACTCTAGTGTGATTGGTGTTGAGGAGGTTAAAAATCTTGAAGTTCATGTATTTGAGCGCGTTGGGCCTCATTCCAAACACTTCTCTACATTATGTTCAGACGGTGAAATGGAAATTCACCCTTATGAGCATAAAAAGGAGTCCAAGGAAGAGGTAGATGAGCCTTATATTTTGGATTTCTCAAGGTCGTCTAGGCAAGGTGACACTCCTCGGTCGAGAGCCAACAAGTGCATAAGATTTTATCTAATTTTTGGCTCGCAAGAATTTGTACCGCCCCAAGAGCATAATCATAAGCTTGAAGCAAAACTTGGGGTTCAATTCATAAGCTCAAGGTGGAGGCAAAAAATGATTCGCGTCGTGCCGCGACGTTAAATCAAGCGCTTGTTGGGAGGCAACCCAGCTTTATTGCTTTCTTTTATTTATTTTCATTTTTTTTAATTGTATTATTTTTGTAGTGTCAATTTTTTATTTTTTTAGGAGAATGGAAAGCAAAGGTATTGGAAGGATGCAACAGCAAACCAAATGGCTGGAACTAAGTGTGAGGTACCCGCACGAAGGACCAAGCTTGGGAGAAGTCTGAGTACCCCATGAGTTGTTAGTGCTTCGGCCTTTGGCCTACCAGGGAGTCTCTTTTACCCTTTTATT